AGTCTTGTTGGGGAAACAAGTGTTGAATTAGGGCCATGATAGATGTTAGATAGCTTCCGGATTAGCCGACGGTCGCGCAACCAGAGCAGAGGGGGTTTCTAACGTTCATCAGGTGTGGTACTAGAGATATGGTTCGTCAAGTCGTAATATCTAGGCTTGTGGGCTCGCTAGTAAGTGTCTCGTCTTGTGAGCAGCATTATAAGGAAGTTTGATAAGCCACTATAATCTTGTCGGAACTTACGACCCGGCGACCGCTGCATGCGCTGTCTCCTCGCTCGCCATTTAAATGTAGAGCTCGCCCGGATTGTGCGCAAAATTTTCCAGTCCTCCTCAAGAGGGTTTCACTCAAGAATCGTTAGAATGGGAGTGTATCTCCTGCTAGAGGCCGTGTCAGTTGTAGCGGCGTGAGCTCATATACTCTTAAATTGAAAAAATTGAGAGAAATTGGTCGAAAATCAGTGCAAATCAATGCTTTTTTGGTTCAGTAAGCCATCATTTTCGAGTCTGTAATCCGGTCGCATTTCAACCTCGACCTCCCATTCACCTCGAGAGAAATCCGCCATATTGGGATTAGAAGTCCTGGTGGGAGAAGCCTTCCATCGATACTCAGAGGGATTAATATGAATGTAGATTGTTGTTTGTATTGCTTGATCCATTCTGAAGTGTCCAAGTCTGCGGTACACGTGGCGGGAAGCGTAGGTATGTTATTGCGACTTGATCGATTGAACAGTACGAGTTCCACGTCTACTAAAGCTAGTAGCATCATGGATATGGAAGTACAACCGAGCTCTATTGAGAGGCCTTATTACAAACACTTTGCACTTCTCAAGGTAGTACGCTTTGATATGCGCGATCTTCTTCTAGGATTGGTAGAATGAGGGAATCACAATTCAGTCTACCTTATCTGGTAGGCCCACAAGGCTGGTAAGCTGCTGCTCGTCTCGTTCGAGCTCACTGTTATGCTGTTGGTACTCAACATGGTGGACACAATGGCTGTAGTTGCATTATATGACGAAGTCTATAAAGTGGGCAGCTTTCCTTACAGGATAGGCTTCATTCGATGGTAGCTAGATCCGCCTTTTATATGCTGCCTTCAATGTCGTGATATTTGGATTGATGGGACTTTATGGCTTTCGTCAAGTATTGGTATAAACGTCTCACTGCTTTCTACCTATGTGTAGTGCAGGGTATTAGAGGTCTCGTTGAGGAAGTAACGGACGATCTGGACTCATTTCGATTCGTTCAAACACTTTTGAGGGTGAGTGCATTCCCTTTCACTCGAGGTCAATTTCCCCATTATTACCGTCTAGGGGAGGCCTATGTGTAAGCCTAGATGTTCACCATGCGCGGCTTGTGCTGACAAATGTGCTATTGACAAATTGTCAATGACTATACCACTATGGTCTATAGAGTCTTTTCAGATAGTTATGGTATGCTTTGCCACAGTCCCTTGCGGTAGTATAGAGAGCTTCTTCAGTAATGCGATGCTCGATAGACAGACGTAGATGCCTCACGGGATTCTATTTGAGAGGCCCCACTTCACAGGCGCGGCTTTTGGTTTGTTTCTACTACGATTGAAAGCTTTGGATGGTCGATCGGCGCGATTTTGTCCTTTCATGTTACTACCAAGGTGGGATTGTATATCTCCAACACTATGGAGATGTTTCTCGTAGATAAAAGAGATGACCCAGCCCGATGTTTAAGACGTCGGATTGTTCCTTCGATTGTTGCTAGTATTATCTCGGCCATGTAGATCTGATAGGGTTGCTCATGGTCTGAGCTTCAATGGTGACACCCCCTGTGTCACCGTCGATCATTAAGCACGCGGTATCTTGTATGGATTTGTTGAGTTTAAGTTTCACATCGAGCGCCAATGAGTCGGACATTTTTTCTTATGTAAGTTCACGTTGCTATTGCAAGGACAGAAATGAAGGGATCGTCTCTCGCAGCTGGAAGTGTTGCAGCTAGACAGGTAGTACTTCACCAGAATCATGTGTACTCTACTTGTCGTTCTCCGAGGCAAGTTTGTTTCGTATGTCAGATTGGTATCGAGCTCACTGATGCACGTAACGCTGTCTACTCTAGAGCAACGTCATCGTTTGAGCAGCCAGCGGCGATCAGATGGTCGGAATTGAATTTCCCTCCATGTCTTAATTTGGTGCACTTTGATCTTACGGAATTACCGAGGAATGTGAGTGAAGCCGATGCTCTAAGAACTGCTTTCGGAGATGTGCGATTCACGGTATTATCTAGCCTGGCGTGAAATTTTTCCTCCTCATTTCACTTTTCATTCCGGTGTGTTCTTGGTAGTACTCAATAAAATCGCATCTGCATCATTCAGACTGAATGTATTACTGGACAATTGTCGCCTAGTCATGATTTACAATCGATAACACAAGTTGTATAAACATCGGTTTCAATCTACTTGGGGGAATGGATGATTAGCTATTCACATACGTGCAATCGTGCAGTGTCTAGGAACAGTAACAACAATATAGTTCCTGCAGAACTCACTGATTCGATTGCAATCGAATGGTATATACCATAAACCAGAAGAAATTTGGACACTTTATCTTTCCCAGATGCTACCCGTGATTGCCGAGACATGTGACTGACCCTTCAGGCCGCCGCAGCCCTACGACCCACCTTGTGGGCATTCGTCGCTACTATCGCGTTATTGATTATCAACTTCATCAACTCGATCATCATAGTGGCCGTAAAGGAGCCCCACGCTGATAGTGTAAATCAAATCACTGCTTCTATGTAGTGAATAGGAATACTATCAGGTTCGCATTCTGTACTCCTTCCTCAACCTCGTGCTCATATCCTCCATTGCATGCTACTCGGTGTATCAGGTAAAGTTCTGTGATATGGTGCTAATCGCGCTAGGTCTAATCGACACTATCGACTGTAGTAATGACTATCGATCGACGTTGTGACAGAATGCATACGGAGATATGCGGGCCATACCGCCAATTAACTGCTGAAATCATCCGTTATTATGCAATAACAGCGAACGATGGCCATTCACACTACGTGTCGATTATCGCCAAATCGCAAGCTCCTTCCCCGATCGCTGTGTAGTTTCTGTCGCTTTAGGCCTATAAGGGTCTAGCATTGAGCTCAATTTTCCACATAGCGCGGTTTGCTACAATACATGGATGCCTTACGGTGGGTCTCCTAGTCGTTTGCTTATTTTGTATGCAGTTTTAGGCTCTGTTGGGCTCAATGGTGCTGCTGCCTTGCTCGAGTTTCAACGGCTTCTTGATACCTGTACGCTACAACGACAATAAGATGTAGCCCGGCAGGCTCACCTGTGGACCTAATCTGTATCTTGCCTCAGAGGCACGTACTGGATCTTTGCGGTTGTATTCGAGAGCCTAGCTTGGCTAATGACTACGTGCATTTCGGCATATGGCATTCACAAGGTAGATACGAGCTCGCGTATGGGCCACAATATTCTCTTCAGGTGCGGACTTATCTTTGACGGGTGTAAATTGGATATGTTGCATGGTCGCTAATGCTCCATAATCGTTGGTAACTACTATGCTGTTATCTTGCGTTGTTGAGATAGTGAAATGCATTGGAACGATGGGGTTTGACAGAAACCAGTTTGTAAAGTATTCCATAGGGATGCATTGGAGTCATCGGTCGCGTATAGGATATATCATCGATGATCCTGAGAGCATTCGTACTGGCCGTAAGGCGCAACTCGGGAGAGACATGAGTGACGAAAAATCCATGGATGTGGTGTGCTACCTAAATAGTGAACTCGCCTTAGCATCATTCGAGTAGTATGATCACTCCAATTTAGATATACACCCACCACTGAACGCAATAAGGAGAACACTGAAAGTTTCAGTTCGAAACGATGACGAATGTGAATAACACAAAAATTCTCCCCACGGGAATTATTCACTGACGGGATCAACCACACCATGGTAAATCTCTTATAGCAAAAAGCTCGCCTCGAAAACTCACTCCGTAATAGTTTTCTCCTCGGCTAAAATCTCCCCGCAAGCCAGGCGAGGACCCGAACTTTCTTCGTCCCGAAAATCATCGGGGTAGGCGTGCACCATTGTTGAACGATGCAGGACCGAGAAGGCTCCCTCTAGCTTGATTATCTTGCTATTGAGTGAGCCCTTAGCGACACCCGAGGCATCAGCGATAACATTACCGAGAGTCCCGAGGTGCCTTATGTGGCCATCGGAAGCCCCGTGTTGATAACGGTAGGGGTTGTAGGTTCTCCCCGCTGAGTTACATCCGTTATATCGGAATTCGGCAGTGCGATGAATATGAATACCATGACTAGAATGGGGATCGAGACCGGTGATCTCGTAAGTGATAGTGGTATTCGCTGGTCCATGCTGAGTGTAATAGAATATTCCGCGGGTTATCCTTGCGCCACGTCGTGGAGCTCCACTACCGCGGGGCTCCAGCACACTCTTGGCCTTGATGGGATACTTCGGTGGGGTCTCGGGGTCAACTGAGAGGTTGCGCTGAGTGATACGTAGCGAGCCTTGGCTTACATGGGGAGATGTCCAGACACTGTAGTGGCTGTTTGTCCTGCGATGAGCACTGCCCTGCCCGAACAGAGCAAATCTTGGCATCTCCATCGATGTTGGTCCTCTCCACGTAACTGATGATATCAAACTAAGGCGAGAAACGGACAATACTGACGTACAGATCTTCACAGGAATGAGGTGGCGGTAGTTCGTCCTGACAACGAGAACCCACACGCCCACATCCGTTGATCGCCTGGCAAACGTTGTGGCATGCATTCTGAAGAGGAGATAATGTGGCGATTTCGAACACTCAATTCAGGGCTGCCCTACTTCACACGCTAAGGAGACCGCCAAGGCCCCGAGGATCGCCCATATGTACGCGACGTTGCTGATAAACCTCATAGAAGAGAAAGCAGCCATATGAACTGAGTGGTGATTCTAGTGCTCCGATTAGTTAACACCATCCTGAGGGACCTTACTACAAGCGGTTAGATATTGTGTCAGAGGTGAGAACAGCAAGGAACAACGACCAACTATAACCTGCTATACCTATAAGCTGTAGATTTGGTAAAGCACGCAAGTACAATAACGTATGAGATCCCGCTGCTTGCGTCACCTCAGCTGCGTGCACGCATGCCTAGGTGGAAAAATTCGCGATTCGCATGTCAATTATCGTGAAACTTTAAATGTGGGTTTCTGCTGTGCTTCTCCTCTGTAGAGCATCAACGAGTCTGCTTGTGTTCATATTTTCGCAGGATTATCATGTGTCCTCGAACTCGGGGAGTCCTCGACGGGGTCACCAGCCCAAGTCTCATGCGCATGCGTGCTAAGATTTTAGACGACAGGAAGCATCTGGTTCCTGGGAGGGAGCACAGACATTAATTACTTTCCTCATTCTAACAACGGCAAAGGTGTCTTGCTCATCACCGAACCTGACAGTGTTGTCCAATTCGGGGTTCCGGAAAAGTTGTCACTGCCAACTACTTCGTGAAGATTCACGCCCTGTCAACATGACAGGTGCGCGGTTCGAGCTCGGGATCCTTGCAAGCTATTATAAGAGGGCATCTTTCAGTAACCTCTCGAGAATGACGAATCTTTAGGTTGGAACTCTCACCTCGCTCTGTCTCGAGTGCAAAAAATTAATCCAGGGATCAGCGTTAACTTAACGTCGTTAACTAAAATCTTAATGTCATATCCTTGCCAAGTAAGACCACGACTGGAGCCAGACTAGTAGGTTACAGATAGCGGGCTGGCCAGAGACCAGCGGTATATATCCAAGAGGGGATATGATATTCCAAGGAATGGCAACCGTGGGGCAGTGGGAAATCTAACGGTTATGTTGGGACGCCCCTCAAACTGAATCCAGCACCAAATCCCTGACACTGGAACTAAACGCCCTAAAATGCCAGTCTAACAGGGAGAGCGCGCGACTACCATGCGGAAGACCCAGGTTCGAATCCCAGAGTGGTAAAAATTTTCAACATGTATCTCCTATCTGAAATTAAGTATGTTATTCGTTTTCGGCTTACTAGAGGTTTTGTTTTGCGTTAGTCAAACGATTTGTCCGATATTTGCGAGTATTATCAAGTTCCGTACTGGGACAACACTTGCCTCTTGTAGTTTAGAGTGTCTTCCTCCCGACACACTTCCGACAAACACACTTCGCTAAACGCAACACTCAACAAATTCAGATGGAGACACTGTAACTACGAGCGGACATGCGGTTATGCGAGTTCAACTATAATCACATAGGGCGCGTTCTTCGATACATGCGTGAGTTCAGAGGCTCAACTTCAGCCAGCAAGAGAGTATTTATTAGCAGAAGCCCGCGTCCCACATACTTCTGGCATCCAGGACCTAGATCATCCAAACAATACATTACTTTGCAGAGATAAATTGACATTCACAATTCATACCCATACATAGTAATAGACGTGATTGTCTCTCATAATCGCTTTTAAATGTTGAAACACCTG